AATATTTTTTAAAAAGTTGAGGGAAAAAATACAAAGTTCTAATATCAAGTTTATAGGTAATCATTACCATATCCTGAAACAATATTAGGGAACTAATTTTATTATCTAAAAATCAAAGATCCATGCATCATCAGCTGGCAGACTAAGTTAGATGAAAACAAATGTTTCAACATGTATTGACGTAATAGTTATTTATAGAGTGGTGACTATGTTTCAGGTGCTATGCTGCTATTTTTATTACCAAGAATCATGTGGACTCTACTGAAGATTACTAAAGTTTCACTGAGTGTAATATCTCTATGTACATAGAATGGAAAGGTGAGGATTGAAATCATAAGTTCATTTTCAAATGTTGTTTATCATTCATGAGTATTAGTTTTTTATGGATGTTGTTCTATAAGTATGGTGAAAACCAATATTGTATCTCTAAATTCTCAGTTCTATTGAATAGTTGGGTTGCTTACACACAGATAGTAGTGAACCTCAATCAATTTATTCAAACAAAGAGGGTTTTTTGAATGTGTACTATATACCCAGGCCTATATTATCTTTGATCTAGTGGACTCTAGTGAGCAAATACATTAATAATGTAATTTCCAGTAGGGAAACACGCTACAAATAGAACAAAGATAACTAAGCAGAAAGAGGGTTAGGGCTGGGAATCTAAATTAGATATGGTCATAAAAACAGCTTCTCTGAGAAGGGTCCATTTGGGCAGAGTCTGGAATGAAGGAGCAAACTTACATTATATCAGTGTGAGAAAAATTCCAGACAAGAGCAGCAAGTATGAATGCTCTGAGGTAGGCCAAAGCTTGGCTACAGAAAAAAGAAAAAGAAAAAGAAAAGCCATTTGTGGATTCTCTCAACCAGGTGAATGAGATGGAGAAAGGGAAGGGGTGATAGGAAGTACAGTCAGAGAAGTGAGTGGAGGTCAGTTTATATATGCACTTGTAGGTCTTGTAAGAGCTTTGATGTTTTATTTTCAGCACAATGAGGACCTATTTATCGATATTTTATTTATAGATAGGCTATTTATACTTTCAGTGGAAGCATGAAATATCTGATTTTCATGTTTGAAAAATGTTTGTAGCTGTTCAATACAATAAAGAGTAAAGTTGGCAAAGTAGAAGCAAGTAAATAAGTTAGGAGGTAATTGCAAAACGCTTAGAGAAAGGCAATAGGAGCTTGGAAAGGAAGGATAGTGAAAAATTTCATATTTAAAAGGAAGAACTGATAAAATATGCTTATTAGCATTGGGAGAAGATTTTAAAAAACACGAATGACTGCAAGGCTTTCCATCTGAGCAGCTGCTAACGTCATTGACTAAAATGGACCAGACTGACAACAAAATGCGTTTGGTATCTTGTGTGTGAGGAGGGCCTAGTTTGGAAAATGGTGAAATGTCTACCTAGATGTGTAGGTAGCCTTACGGGTAGGAGTAAGCAATGTTCCCTGAGGTGGAATACGTGTTCCCCAAAATCCAGATACATAACCCACCAAACATTGGCCTTCTGGCTTCGTCCTCTGGGCGTGTAATGACAGCAGCTTAGTTTTAGTCACTGGTGGCATATCCCGAGTGGCTCCTGCCCAGGCTCTTCCTAAGAACTTTCCTGTCTGGCAGGCCCTGGGATCTTCGCTGGATTTACTACCCAGGCCTAGGTGGTCGTGCGCATTACCTCTGCATTCCAACCAGTGGCAGCCTGCTGTTAGGCTTCCCGTGGCCTCATAATGTCATCAGTGTCCACATTCCTTCGGACTAAGTTAGGACAATAGGCCAGTGAGTTCAGATAACCTTTGGCCGAGCAGTAAACCTAAATGGGAATCCTTTCCATGTGAAGGAAAACTACGGTCGGCTCTTTCCTGAGATTGAGATAGAGAAGACAGCATCGGCCAGGTCGGTCCCTGAGTGCCAGCCCCCTTTCGCCTGCTGTATTTTCTGTAGGATGAGACCATTTCCAGAACTGCTGAGATTATGGGCAGCCTGTCTCAGAATTTTTGTTGTGTAGCTGTTATTGCTTTAACGTCAAATTCTGAAATATTTCTTTCTTAATTCTTTATTGTTGAAAGTATTACATATGTCTCCTTTTTTCTCCCATTGATCTCTCCCAGCCCACTCCCACCCTCCCAGTACAGGCCCTTAACCCTCTACTATCTGTGCCCGTTGGTTATGCTTATAAGCATGCATACAAGTCAAATTCTGCAATATTTTAAAGAATTAAGGAGATGTTCTGGATTATAGTCTCATTTGTATTTACTCCTAACCAGGAAAATAGGAACCTGCCCAAGAAAATGAATCCTGAGTCATGAAAGCCTCCTGGTAGGTACTTTCTACCTCAGCAATGTAAACTCAGGGCAGCTGACCAATGAGGCGTCCCCATGTGTTTGTGAACAGTTGGCGGCTCAGTTAGATAGCCTAGCCATCTAGGCATTTATAAATTCAAGGAAAATGGTAACCACCACAGACAAAGATAAATCCTATCCATCACAAACCACTTCCGCTAAGGCGGCACTGTTAATGTTTTCATCTGCAGGGATTGCTGCATTTGCCCACTCAAGCAAGGGCCCCGTTAGATTTTCTCCTATCCTGAAATAAGTTGTTCTACATTTTAGAGTTTACCCCCTTTAACAATGGCCTAGGACCGTGGTCGGCAAACTGCGGCTCGCAAGCCACATGTGGCTCTTTGGCCCCTTGAGTGTGGCTCTTCCACAAAATACCATATGCGGGCGCACGTACAGTGCGATTGAAACTTCGTGGCTCATGCACAGAAGTTGGTTTTCAGCCTGGGCGAGTCTATTTTGAAGAAGTACTGTTGATATTTGGCTCTGTTGACTAATGAGTTTGCCGACCACTGGCCTAGGAGATATGGTTGGTGGTATTATATTTCCAGGCCAATCCAAGAGTAACAGAAATTTTTTGAAAAAGCGGCTTCATGTTGAGTTCAAGTGTGAAGTCTTGACGTGGCGTCCCGGGAAGAAGCAGTCTGTCTCGGTGCTGGTGACTTTCTTCCTAGGCCATTTAATTTGAACAGAACCAGATGGCAGACGGAGCCCTTTTTCATCGTGAGATGTGTATCCCAGGTTCAGGTTACTGGTTTGGCTGCCATCTGGGGACTGAGTAGGACCTGGCAGAGTCCCTTCCAAGGAGATTCAAGGACATTCTTTGTTCCTAATGATTCCAAATCAGAAGAGTGGGAGAAAACTGGACATGTTCATTAGCAGAATTAAAGTCAGGTATTTGAGGAAACTAGCATTGAGGCTATAGTACACATTCAAATTCAATAAAACCTCGAAGAGAAGGAACATGATTAGAATTTATTATATTAAAAGGGGCAAACATGATTTTCCTCTCTATAATTACCCCACATTGTATCAAAGATAATCACAGTAAAACTAATGTGTGTGCATTAAACGTGGCCTGATTATTTACATAAGTGTAGCGAGAATAGTGTTTGACCCCGCAAACTATTTTTAAGGCTGCTTTGCTGGGACTTTTTGTAAGGAATCTCAGATGGCACTCTTGGGTGCCTCTGGGGTCAGGAAACCAGGTGGTTTCCATCAGTCCCTTAAAGCTGTCTGAGTCTGTGCGTCTCTCTCTCAAATATCACATTTCTGTCCGTACCATAGTAATAGCCAAGGTTTCCAACTGTGCCCTGTTACAAGGAGAACCATCATCTCCAGGTATTTGATCTTAGTAAACCTACAGGGTGTTCTGATAATAAATTTCTAATTGGGCAGGTCATGGTAGGTAGTCACCGTCCGAGGCCTATAACTTTTTGGTAATAAGACCCAGGGTCCTTATAACTTTGATTAAGTTTAGTTTTAAATTCTAGCTGATCCTGGCTGAGCTTGGTGAATCGTGACTGGGCTCACTTATGCTTTTGTGGTCAGCTGAGTTAGGTGACAGCTCTGCTGATCTTGGGTGAGCTTCGCTATCACATGTTAGAGTGTGGACTGGTCCAAGAAGACTTTGGCTGTGACAACTCAGCTCTGCCCAATCTCTCAGCCCCCAGCAGGCTAAGTCAGGCTTGCTTCCATGGAGCTGATAGGATTTCATGTTCAAGAAAACTCAATCATGCAAGATATGTAGAGATACTCACAGGCTTTTCAAGCCTCTACTTGTGGCATGTTTGCTAACATCCTAATGGCCAAAGCAAAATACACTCTTCGTCCAAAGTCAGAGGTGGGGAAGGGGCTTCAAGTTACAGGATAAGGGCATGAAGAAGGAGAACCCATTAAGCGGGCCCATCAATGCAATACTGGCTCATCGTTTTCCAAACTCTCCTTCTGACTGTGTATACCCTACCTAATTTAATCACTGATGGAAATGACCTCATTGTCAACGACAACATCAGTGACTACAACAAATAGGCTTCATGGACCACCAACCACTGTGCTTAGCCTATAAATAACTTCTTTTTTTAAAAAGTTCCTTATTGTTGAAAGTATTGCATATGTCTCATTTTTTCCCCATTAACCTCTCCTCACCCACTCCTGTTCCACAGCACAGGCCCTCACCCGCCCCCCTTTGTCTGTGTCCATTGGTTATGCTTATATGCATGCATCCAAGTCCTTTGGTTGATCACTTACCCCCTCTCCCCAGCCCTCCTTACTCCCTCTCCCCTACCCTCCCTTGCTTTCCCTGTGAGGTTTGATGGTCCCTTCGATGCTTCTATGACTTTGGATCTATTTTTGTTCATCAGTATGTTGTTCGTTATATTCCACAAATGAATGAGATCATGTGATATTTTTCTTTCTCCGACTGGCTTATTTCCCTTAGCACAATGCTCTCCAGGTCCATCCATGCTATTGCAAATGGTAAGAATTCTTCTTTTTTACAGCAGAGTAGTATTCCATTGCATAGATGTACCACAGTTTTCTAATCCATTCATCTGCTGATGGGCACTTAGGCTGTTTTCAAATCTTAGCTATGGTGAATTGTGCTGCTATGAACATAGGGGTGCATATATTCCTTCTGATTGATGTTTCTGACTTCCTGGGACACATTTCTAGAAGTGGGATTACTGTGTCAAATGGGAGTTCTGTTTTTAATTTTTTGAGGAAACTCCATACTGGTTTTCACAGTGACTGCAAAGTCTGCATTCCCACCAGCAGTGCACAAGTGTTCCTTTTTCTCCACATCCTCGCCAGCACTTGTTGTTTGTTGATTTGTTGATGATAGCCATTTTGACAGGTGTGAGATGGTACCTCACTGTCATTTTGGTTTGCATCTCTCGGATAATTAGTGACTTTGAGCATTTTCATATGTCTCTTGTCCTTCTGTATGTCCACCTTCAAAAGTATATTTAGGTCTTTTGCCCATTTTTTGATTGGATATACATATCCGTAAACATATTGCTATGAGATATGTCTGATATTTTGCTGCCTATGGATTCTTCTAAGATTTTTATGATTTCCCATCTTACGTTTTAAGTCTTATATCCATTTTGAGTTTATTTTTGTGTATAGTGTAAGTTGGTGGTCTAGTTTCCTTTTTTTTTTTTTTTCATATACCTGTCCAATTTTCCCAACACCCTTTATTGAAGAGACTGTCTTGACTCCATTGTATGCTCTTGCCTCCTTTGTCAAATATGAATTGAGCATAATGGCTTGGGTCAATTTCTGGGTTAATAAATATTCTTATTTAATTCATAGAACAACCATATAAAGTAGATGCTATTATTATTTCAAGCCAGGCCTTTTAACTCCAAACCCTGTAAGCTTAAGCGTGAGGCCAGTCTTCCTGTAAAAGCAGGTTTGAATGTATGTCTCCGATAGGAACACCGATCATGATGATGGCCTTTTGTTGTACGTTGTTCTCATCTCCCTGTAAAAACTTTTTGGTGAAAGTTTATGCACCACATCCCTCCTTATATTACAAATCATTTGAATGGCCAAAGAGTGTATGACTATACAAGCAGGTATAAAATTTAAAGGTGCAATGAAAAATATAACGCAAGGGTCATTTCTCAATAATGGCTCACAAATCATTTTGTGCCAAGAACTTAGCCATTGGAATCTCTCTTGCTCCTCTCACATTATTGCTCAGAAACAGCAATAGTGCCATCGTGTGGACAATCTGAGAACAGCACCCAGGGAAGGGATTAGTCTCAAGAGTGCCCTCGTGTGGACACTAGGGTTCTGAGGACAGCACCCTAGTAAGGGATCATCTTCAAATTAGTGTCTGTTTCCTTTGTGAAGACTATAGAGATGGCTACTTAATAAATAACATGTTTTTGTCCTGCACGGATGGCTCAGTTGGTTGGAATGTAGTCCTACACCAAAAAGGTTACAGGTTCGATTCCTGGTCAGAGCACATACCCAGGTTGTGGGTTCAATCCTCAGTTGGGGTGGTTACAGGAGGCAACTGATAGATGTCTGTCTCTCTCTCTCTCTTCCTTCCTCTCTCTCTAAAAATCAAAAACATACTCTTGGTGAGGATTAAAATAAGTAAATAAATAAATAAAAATGGTTTTTAATGTGTCGAAATTGAGGATGCATTCTGACGTATTTCCCAGTGCTTTCAGAGGAAGTCTCCTGGAAAGAGACACACCTACTGGTAATTCATGGTAATTCAGGATAAAAATAACACAGCTACATTTCTGGGAAGGAGCATAAGAATTCGGAGGAAAAACTATTCAGAAAAACATAATTGGCTTTCTTTCTCTCGAGCCATCCCGGGCTTCCTGGATGGCGGTGTCAGCTCGTTTGCGATAAGGAAGGCTGAGGAAGATGCTGTTATGGTTTCAAGTACGTCAAGGGCCAGAATTGGTTTATGAAGGGCAGAGAGGAAACACTTAGAGAGAAGATCATGGGCGAGCAGGACGCTATCACCTAACTTTGATGCTGTGTCTTGTGGATGATTCAACTCTGGGTGATAGGGTTGAACAGCTCTGCACCTCCCAGGCCAGAACACCGGAAATGCTAATCCCTTAGCAATGTCCTCGGCACTGGAAAATCCAAGCAGCGAAGAAAGTGCTCCTCAACCGCGGGCCTGCAGCACCATTGTGAGGTGCAGGTTGTGCAAATGGGCAGGCAACCTGTGACACTGAGTCAGAGTTAGTCACGGAGAGCGTACATGCGTGCACCCTTCATTATACAAGAATGCACCACTCTCTATTTACGCATGCAATTCTGTTCTCGGACATATTACGAGCCATGAATGTGGTATAAAGTTTCCACTCATCCATCTGTTCACAGAAGATATTGAACCAGATAACGTGATAAACTCAAGATACAAACATGGAAAATAATATGGCCCCTGTCTTCTAGGAATTTACAGGCGAAGGAGAAGAGACAGAGCAAGAAACTGGTCTGACTATACTGAAAACCATCTTGAAGGAGGTTTGAAGCATGGCCTTTTGCTCTGTCTAGTTCGGAGTCAGCTGAGAGTCACAGGGGAGAAACACAGCAACAGGTGGGTGCTATTTGTGATAAAAACCGTATGGAAGGGCCCAGCAGGCGTGGCTCAGTGGTTGAGTGTCAGCCTATGAACCAGGAGGTCACAGTTCAATTCCCAGTCAGGACACATGCCGGGTTGTGGGCTAGACACCCAGTGTGGGGTGTGCAGGAGGCAGCTGGTCAATAATTCTCCTCATCATTGATGTTTCTATCTCTGAAATCAATAAAAATAT